TTGTATTTTGAGTAATCATTAGTTTTAAAGATTTGATATTTCAAATAAATAACGCATGTGTTTAATACGATTTGATATATTTGCTATGGCCCTCGTTTGTGCATTTGAAGTTATTTTGAAGGTGCATTGTGTCTCTGTAAGTGAAGTTATTAAAAAACTGTTAAACTGCGTTTTCACTGTTCACAATCTCAGAGCCATCTCGTTTACAAGCATGTTTTAAGGCTTATTCCGGTTACACTTATGCTCCATGGCGATTTAGATTAAACTGCATAAAGGAAAATCTATTTCTTTGTCAGTTGTAGTTTGTTTTTAAATAGAAAAAAATAATCAATTAAAATCGAAAATCGGATTTGGTGTTTTTTAAGCCATATCGCCAAGCCCTAGTTTAAAGGATCTATTATTCCTTCGCTATGAGCATGTACAACAGTTCTGTCTGAGTGTAACAAATGCACATTATGACTATTGCCTGGAACTTTTAGAATTATGTATTTATTGGTACGTTTGCTTCCCTGCTGCTCCTACAATAAACAATGGTCAATAACGAAAGTTTATCTCAATACTTTGTTATATACCCTTTGTTGGCAATCAATCAATCAATCAAAGTTTATTTGTAGAGCGCCTTTCATACACATGGCAACACAAAGCGCTTCACAGTCCACATCACAAATCATCACATAAAACAAACACCAGAATCACAATTAAAACATTAAAATCACACAAAAGATTAAAACACAATTAAAACATTAAAATCACACAAAAGAATAAAACCATTAAAACTTTCAAAATTACACAAGAAATTTAAAAAAATAAATAAATGACAGCAGTGCATTAAAAATGGAGATAAAATCCTTCAGTTGTATGCACAGGCAAACAGAACAGTCTTTAACCTGGATTTGAACATTGACAGAGTAGACGCCTCCCTCACATTTTCAGGGAGATTGTTCCAGATCTTAGCTGCATGGATCTGAAACGCAGCCTCCCCATGTTTGGTTCTCACTCTGGGCACCAGCAGGAGGCCAGTCCCTGTGCTCCTCAGAGTCCGGGCCGGTTCATATGACACCAACATGTCACTAATGTATTCTGGTGCAAGGCCATGGAGAGACTTGTACACAAGCAGAGCCGTTTTAAAATCTATTCTTTGAGCCACAGGAAGCCAGTGCAGAGACCTGAGGACCGGACTAATATGGTCATACTTCCTGGTTCCTGTCAGGACTCTAGCTGCTGCATTTTGGATGTACTGCAGCTGCTTACAGGTCTGTTTGGACAGACCTGTAAGCAGGCCATTGCAGTAGTCTAGCCTGCTGGAGACAAATGCATGGACAAGAATCTCCAAGTCTGCCCTGGACACTATATTTCTAACTTTGGCAATGTTCTTCAGATGGTAAAAAGCTGTTGATGTTATTGATTTTATGTGGCTATTGAAATTTAGGTCTGAGTCCAGTATTACCCCCAAATTTCTGACCTTGTCTGAAGGAAGTAGGGAGAGAGACTGAAGTTGACAAATGACGCCCTCTCTTTGTTTCTGGGGACCAAAGACAATGATTTCGGTTTTGTCTGTATTTAGCTGGAGGAAATTATTTTGCATCCAGTCACTGATCTGTTGGATACAGTGAAGGAGCAAATCCAGTGGTCCATGTTCTCCTGCAGTCAGTGAGACATAGATCTGAGTGTCGTCAGCGTAATTGTGGTAGGACACTTTGTTTCTTTGTATTAACTGACCTAACGGCAGCATGTAGAGATTAAATAGGAGAGGTCCCAGGATCGACCCCTGTGGTACACCACAGGTCAGGGCCACATCATCTGAGACGCAGTCTCCAATCTCCACAGAGTACTTCCTATCCTCCAGGTAAGACCTAAACCAGTCTAGGGCTGTGCCAGTGACACCAGCCCAGTCCTCCAGTCTCTGCATGAGGATCTCATGGTCGACAGTGTCGAACGCGGCACTAAGATCTAACATGACCAAAACTGTGACTTTACCTGCATCAGTGTGAAGTCGAATGTCGTTTGTTACCTTCACTAGAGCGGTCTCAGTGCTGTGGTGGGGTCTAAACCCAGACTGGAACATATCAAAAGAATTATTCATTGTTAAAAATTCAGTAAGTTGTTGGGAGGCCACTTTTTCAAGAATTTTTCCAATAAATGGCAGATTCGATATGGGGCGATAATTTTGAAGTCCCGCAGGATCCAGACTGCTCTTTTTTAGGAGAGGTCTTATGACTGCTGTTTTTAGGGCCATAGGAAATGTTCCTGACGACAGAGACATGTTTACTATTTGTGTCAGTGAAGGTAACAAACTGCTCAGGACGGACTTCAGAAATTTAGAGGGCAATATATCCAGGCTACATGTGGAGGAGCTCAGACTCATGATTATCTTTTTGACAGTTTCAGTATCCACAGGTGCAAAGTGAGTTAGCTCAGAAAGCTTCTCTGGCTGTTGCATTGTTATACGTGCTGTGGAGGTGATAGTGTTTTTGATTCCTTGTACTTTGTCATCGAAAAACTGTGCGAACTCATTACACCTAGATTTAGAGGAAAATTCTAGGGGCAACTTTACAGGGGGGTTCGTTAATCTACCAACTGTTGAAAACATAACACGAAAATTGTTACTGCAACCTCCAATAATGTCAGAAAAATACATTTCTCTTGTTCTACGTAGAACCCGGTTAAATTCACCCAACTCATCTTTAAAGATTTCATAATCGCCCTGGAAATTGGACTTTCGCCACTTCCGTTCGGCCCTCCGGCACTCTTGCTTCTGTGCCCTAACCGAGTCTGCCTTAGTCCATGGGGCCTTTTTCTTACTGGTAACTATTTTAACCGTCACAGGAGCAATGGCGTCCAGAACAGTCAGAACACTGGTGGTGACAGAGTTATACAATTCATCAACAGTAGAGCATGGAGTTTTCTCAAAATTTAGCATTCCCATGAACAGTTCACTTGTGTTTTCATGTATGTGTCTTCTTCTAACAGTTGTAAATTCAGCTGGTGGTTTGCTAGCAAAACACATGTCAAAAAATACACAGAAATGATCTGACAAAGCAACATCAACTACATTAACATTTGATACATTAACCCCCTTTGTAATTAGCAGGTCAAGAGTGTGCCCCCTGCTGTGGGTGGGGCCACTCACGTGCTGAATGAAACCAAAGGTCTCAAATACAGAAGCCAGCTCCTTTGCATTTCTGTCATCAACATTATCAACATGTACATTAAAATCACCTGTAATAACTAAACTATCAAAATCTGTGCACACGAATGAAAGTAGTTCAGTAAAATGGTCAATAAAATCGCAACATGACTGTGGTGGCCTGTACAGGACAATGAAAAGAGTAGAAGATTGCTTTTGTTCCATTTTAAAAGAAATATACTCAAACGATGAAAAATTTCCAAGGGGCATTCTATGGGAGACAAAGTGCTCTCTAAAAACTGCAGCTATGCCTCCCCCCCTTTTGTTTTCTCGTATTTCGGATTCGAATTTAAAATTGGGTGGTGTTGCTTCTATTAGAACTGCATTTCCTGTATTTTGGTCCAGCCATGTTTCAGCCATAAGCATAAAATCAAGATCATAAGAAGTGATAAAATTATTAATTAAAAATGATTTGTTACATAGAGATCTGACATTAAGCATAGCAAGTTTAAAAATAACGTCAGAGTCGATTAATGTGGTTGATTGATTTCTACAGGGAACAGAAATTAGATTTGCAGAGTTGGACCGTCTAACTGCTGTCCTGTTTTGATTTCGTTTTTTAGAATTTAAAAACATTTTTGAGCTGGTGCGAGGAACACACACAGTCTCAATTGGCCTAAAATGTGAAAACCCTTGTTGTTCTTTAGCTCCCAGAGTCAGAAGGGAGTCAGCACAGTTCAGTGTTTGGACTGGTAATACACTGCCAGACGGACAGGGAGCAGTGTTTGCACCGTTGTACTCACCCGGTGCTGGTGAGCAGGAGGCGGGGGAGTGCGGTGGGGTCCGAGGGGGCTCAGATGTAAACAGTCACGCCCCCCTCGGGGAACGCTGAACAACATAACGTATGTAATCCATCAACAGGCTGGGGTACGCGGACCCCTGGGGTCGTTAATTCCCACATGCACGACTACCTTGGAAACGGTATCAGGCAGGGACTGAAGCAGAGGAGGGAGTACGCGGGGACCGCGTTAAAGAAGCGGACGTGTCTCCGTTGCAGGGGGTACGTGGTGAAAAAAAAAAAAATAAGAAAATTCTGCCAATAATTTAAAAAAAAAATTGTGGTAATGCAGAATAAAGTAAAAACGGTGTCAATACGGGTGTCACTTAATAAAAGTCTTAATACAACATTTATAACACATGTACTATTGTTTTAATTGTCCTAATTGTACCTCCGGGAGGCATAAACTGTGACACGCTGCGCGCCTAAACATCAAAACAGTGGAAAAATACGACAGCTAGCATGGATAGGTGGCTCAAACGCCCGATTACGATCACTCCAGACTCTGATGAACATTCTGCTGAGACGATGGAAAAGCGTAAGAAAGATACAAAATCAAAGCAAAGACAGTTCTGTGATAAATACCTGTTGTATGGATTCACCTGCACCTCGGCGGATCCTCCGCAGCCTCAGTGTTTCTTTTGCGGCGAGGTCTTGGCTAACACCTCGATGAAGCCATCACATCTACAGCGACACTTGACCACAAAACATCCAGAAAGTGCGGGTAAAGCGGAAGAGTTTTACAAACGAAAGCTGATGGGATTTAAGACGAGTCAGTCCGTCATTAAAAAGGCCGCAAGTGTCTCAAGCAAAGCGTTGGAGGCCTCCTACGCCGTGTCATTGCTTGTGGCCAAATCCAAAAAGCCACATACAATAGTCGAACAACTGATCCTCCCTGCCGCGACTGCTTTGGCTGAAAAAATGATTGATAAAAGAGCAGCAGACGCATTCAAAACAGTCCCGTTGTCAAACAACACAGTGTCCCGACGAATCGCTGATATGTCAAGCAATATTGTGGAGCAAGTAGTGTCTAAAATGAGGCGAGCGGGACACTTTGCTCTCCAGCTGGATGAAATGACAGATGTCAGCGGAGAAGCCCAGCTCTTAGCGTTTGTACGGTACAAAGATGAATCGGACATAAATGAGCACGTACTATTTTGCAAAGCACTGCCAGGAAAGACAACGGGTGAAGAGATATTCCAGGTGATCGACAGCTTTTTTAAAGAGCACGATATTGAGTGGACGTACTGTACGCACATCTGCACAGACGGCGCTGCTGCTATGTCCGGGGGAGTAAAGGGACTTCTTGGCCAGGTGAAAAAGGTAAATACCGAGATCAAATGGTTGCACTGTATTATCCATCGCGAAGCCTTGGCCAGCAAGAGAGTGAGCCCTGAGTTGAGCGCCGTTTTAGACGATGCCGTAAAAGTAATCAACTTTATTCACTCGCGTCCACTCAACCGCAGACTTTTCCAAACGCTGTGTCAGGAGAGCGGCACCGAGCACGAACAGCTTCTGCTTCATACGGACGTGCGCTGGCTGTCTCGCGGGAAAACACTACTGAGGCTTTATGAACTTCATAATGAGGTTTATGTGTTTCTTAAAGAGCATCAGCACAGTCTCGCGGTCGTGTTCGAGGATGCTGAGTGGGTGGCACGTCTTGCGTACCTGGCCGATGTTTTTTCAAAACTCAACGAGCTCAACCTGTCACTCCAAGGCAAAGAGTCACACATTCTCAACATGTATGACAAAGTGAAAGGATTCACTAAGAAGCTTGAGCTATGGTTGAGGAAGTGTGATGAGATGGATGTTAGCTGTTTCCCACTACTTCAAACTCACCTTACTACCAGTGAGTTACCCAGGCGGGCAGTAGTCAAAATAGTGAAAGCACATCTGACCAAGCTCAGCACTGATTTTAATCAGTATTTCCAGGACATTGACAAACATTCAGAAAGACTTGATTGGGTGAGGAACCCCTTTATCATGAGTGAAAGCAGCAAGAATCTTCCAGCAGTGCTGCAGGAGCAACTCATGGATTTATTCTCTGACCGTGGACTGAAGATGGGACATACTACAAAGACACTGACTGAGTTTTGGTGTGATGTGGAGAAGGAGTATGCAGATCTTGGAAAACGTGCATTGTCTGAACTGTTACCTTTTGGATCTACTTACTTATGTGAAGTGACTTTCTCTGCTTTGACACACATTAAAACTAAACACAGAAACAGGCTGGCTGTGGAGAGCAGCCTGATTACAGCTGTTGCCTCATTGTCCCCTGATATAAGTAAACTGATGGGAGAAAAGCAAGCTCAAGCATCTCATTGACTTCTAAGAAAATTAAGACTAATTATTTTAAAAGGCCTATCGTGTTCTGTGTAAGCCGTCATGTTAAAATATTTTTCAATAAGCATTTCATTTGGATTCTGAAAAGAAAATATATTGAATATAGCAAATGAATGTGAAGGTGTTTGATTTATATGCAAATTTGTATACAAACAGTTGCATAAAATGTTACATTAAACGAAATAAACGAATTGTTGTAGAAAAAAAAAATGCATATGGGGGTACTCATGACTTCACTCACAAGCCCAGGGGGTACACAGACCAAGAAAGGTTGGGAACCACTGCCTTAGACTAGTTGATATGTACCTGTCTGGTCTTTGTCCGTGCGCTCTGTCATGCAAACGAAGCACAAACGCAGCCTCTTCCACAGACTGTATAGTTCCAAATCAGCTCCCGTTAGAAGCTACCAAACTCTTCCACGTTTTCCCTATTTAGATACAGTTACGTGACGTGTTACACTACAAAGTGCAAAAAATGATCAAATATGGGATAATAATTGCTTGAATCGAGTTGTTTTTATCTTAATTTAAATTCTTTCTGACTGTCTTAAAACGAGATTTGTCAATGAGACAAGCAATTTTATTTTCTCATTCCAAGAGAGAAATGTCTTGTATCTTTTTAAAACAATATATTTTTTCTTGTTCCACTGGCAAATCTAGTTTTAAGGCAGTCAAAATGTGCTCAAATTTAGAAACATTCAGCAACATTTGAGTACTTTTTGTCTTTAATTCCATCATTTTTTGCAGTGCACAGAAATGTAACATGTCGATTTTCTCAGCGGCAGTGTTGCCAACTCCTCAGTAAGGAAAGTAGCTATTGGCTGTCCCAAAAGTCGCTAGAAGTCGCTAAATGACGTCATCGCCTAATTTGCATAATTGGCAATTTGCAAATAACTGTAATGGCTGTAGGAGAGAGGAATAACGTCGTGGGAGAGAAAAAAGTGAGTAAAAAAACACCCTAAATATGTTTAGAACTACAAATGTACAAAAATAATTTCAACATTAACAACATGATGATTTTAATGCTTTGTCTAGATCCACATTACACACATCAGTTTTGTCCTGTATTGTTAAATGTTATAACAGCAAATGTAATCAAAAGATTGTTATGTAGGGTGAAATTGCTAGCTCTACAACCAACCCTCCTCCTTTATCCGGGCTTGGGACCGGCAAAGTGACCCAAAAGACACACACAATAGTTTTGTTTATTTTTCATAGTTTTTTTCATATTTTTTTTTTGAGGGGTGGTTTGTTTAGTTTTCGTTTATAACTTAATACTTTAAAGGCTGGTTGAAGCCGTTTATTGGTGACAAAACAAGTCACAGTAAACCATGAACATAATTTGCAACAACAACAGCCGAGTGGTGAGGGTCTCCTCTCTCTCTCTCTCTCTGCTCCGCCCATAGACTGTAGCTGGGACTGCTGCGCAAGGCTACTGTGAGACTGGCCGCCTGTAAAGCCTAGCGTACATCGACAGAGAAACTGGAGACAACTAGTTGCAAGGCGGCTTTTGGCAACTGAGAGGAGATAGTGGGAGATGATCAGTTGCCAAAATCGGTCGATGTGCGCGCTCTTACAACTGGAGATGAACAGTCGGTCTCCAGTTTCAGTCAGTTGCCCGTGTTCTACTTTTCGGCAACTAGTTGTCCTCAGTTTCGGAGATATCACCCGATGTGCGCGCTCCATGCGCCGCTCCGACAACGTGTGTGTATTGCGTGTATTGCGAGCCCGCAACAGTTTATGTCAGAAAACACACTGTAGTTGAGGCCAGTTGCTGTCGATGTACGCGCTGTTATTCCTGAGACTGGTCTGCTACTGGGAGTTGCCCGTTTTCGTCAGATTGTCGATGTGTGCGGGGCAGCAACTCATATGAGACGGATATAATCAGTTGCCAGTCCGATGTACGCTAGGCTTAAGTGCTTTGGGACGGGGGAGGGGCTCACGTTGAGGACAGTAACTGGAGAACAATATGTGCTTCACCCCAGAGTCTCCAAAGCACCAGATAAGTCGCTAGATTTGTCGCTAGTTGCTTTTTTGAAAAAAAGTCGCTATAGGAGTCTGAAAAGTTGCTAAATTTAGCGACAAAGTCGCTAAGTTGGCAACACTGCTCAGCGGATAAAAAGGGGTACTATATTGTGAGGCGTAATAATACGCGGAGCACTACGTCCGCACACTAACTCCTAAAAGACTTCTCTCCCGCTCAGCTTGCTTCTATTGACGGAAGTGAGCGGGAGAGAAGTCTAAGGTAAGGTAAGAACATATGTCAGTGTGTAAAACCGGTGGCCTATTCCTTTAAATCCATTTTCTTCCGGTCAATGTTTGTTGCTGGGTCCTGGGGACCACTTTACAACGATCAACTTCAGTAAATCATAAACATCTAAACACAAACACACTGGTTACGTCCTAGAAACCAGTGAAGAAATACAGTATTTAATGAAGCTATACCCAATTTTGTTTTCTTTTTAATGAGTTAATAAAAATGCTTATTGCTACATACAAGTTGTTTTAAAATCCATAATTTAATTGAAAACTTGAGCTCATTGATTCAGCTTGTGTATGATTTCAGGCCGTAAAAAGTGCTGAGTACAGACTTAGCGTGACGCCCGCTCTCCTCCAATCACAGAACGAGGTTGCGTCCTCTAGCCTCTACAGCGCTGCTAAACAAGAGCAGAATGGAGGCAGAAAGCGCCTGTATACCTGCTCTGGCTGTAACTGCAGACACGGCAAAACAGCCTGAACGATGCAACAGTGAGGAAAAGAAGAGGGAAGCAAAAAAAGGATCAAAGAAGAAATCAAGCCCGGGTGAATATAGCTAGCTTACATTGTATCCTCTGGAGAGACCTGCGAGTGCGGACTGCCTTGGACGCGAAACTAGCGGTAATCTTTCAGTTATATATTTTGTTAGAAGTGCGTTGCTTTTGTACCATTTCATCAGTGATTGTTGTACGGCTTAAGTTTCGCTCATGCTAATGTTTGCATACGTATCAGATCGCAAATAAAACTAGATGGCTCCGTGGCAGGAGAGCGTAGGGGAAATGAGAGACCTGTTGAGGGGCAGTGCTAAACATTCAAACCTTGGAGAAATGGGTATAGCTCCTTTTAACAAGTATTTCTTAAGTTATATTATGTATAATGTGCTTATCACTACAGGGCGTGGCATAGAATGAGCGCTACTGGTGTAAACTTTCTAATTTCTAACGCACGTCTCTTATTACGCCTGTATACATTCCACATGTCGTTTGTCGTGTAAATTGGGGTATCAGCAGAAACACCCAGACTTCCCTCTTCATTCACAGTTCCTCCAGCCCATTTGGGGATCCCATGGTGTCAGTATCATGTGAGAGTATTGGATCGTGGACTCGGCAATAAATCAAGAGTTTTGGCTTTTGGCTCTCGCTTCACCACAACAAAAATATGCAGGACAGGGTCTGGTTAGTGCTGTGATGGGAGACCTCTGGCATCAAGGTGCCACAGTAGGACAGTAGCGGTTGTAAAGTGCCAAACTGTCATTGTGTCCTTGGGCTAGACACCCACGTTGTCTTATGAGAGAGTGACTGATTGGTGGTGATCAGAGGGGCTGATGGCACACACTGGTTTCCGCTTCTGTCGGTGTGCTGCGGGGGAAGCTGTGGCGACAGTAGTAGTTTATTTCCACCGCGTACTTTGTTGCAGTGTGTGTTTTGTTGCTTTGTTTTTTTCTATGTGAATTGGGTCATTCATGACTGGCACTCTCTTTGAGCTTCTCCTGGTATAATGAGATAAATACATTGACAACAAAACAAACCCAGAACTGAAATTCTAAAACTCCTCCACTGAATGAGAGACAGAGGGCAAGTAATGTTCAAGTTGCATATAGTAATTTTTGTTTGCCTCAAGGTCAAACTGAAGAGCTCCGTTGTCCATCAGTCCATCCTGAAACTAAATTAGGAACTTAAATCTTTAACGGAAATGTTTCATCTCAAGTGTGTCTTTCTTAAATGTCCTGTATGTGCTTACGTTTTGTGTTGAATGCAGCTGCTCAACTGCAAAACACATTTCAGACGATTGTGTCTGAC